CTTTCCGATGTCGTTAACTTTGAGATCTCAAGAACTGTGTTTTACCGTATTGTTTTTCCACTTATTTTACGGTTACCGCACTATCAGTCATAAAATAATTCTTAGAATAACCTTGTAGAGTACTCGCATTGTCAGTTGTTTGCCAACAGGGTTCCCTTTGGTCTGGTGGCAGTTCCAAAGCTCCTGGAATTTAAATTCATCCATGCTTTCTAACTCCGCCGTTTTACCACTTGCCTCCTCAACAGAGTGGCCTTTGGCCTCAATGCTAGGCATTCTCAGACAGCTTTGTAGATACAATTATGTAAGGAACAAGCGCAGGTATGGTGAAACAAAATATGTTTTATGGACTACCACATATATGGTTTTAAACATTAAACAAACCTTTACTCCCCATTAGTTTTCAAACTGATATGTATGCAGCCTAGGATGTAAACACAGCATTCGGGAATGTGTCTTCATATGCTGTGTTCTTACGTTACATCTTAGGTCCAGGCAAGCTCAACATGGATGCTATTAGAGTATATCTTGCCTCACTAATTGAAAGTTAACAAACTCACTTTACATGAAAACAAAATTAGAGAGCATCTTTTGAATGCATATGATCACTCACGTGTATCAGAAAAATGTCCCATTTGTTGAAGAAAAGCACTCCGCTCATGCATAATAAAAACTGTTGTATTTTATTTCATGGTTTGTTGACATTCAATGTTGACTGTGAATTTCTTGTAGGAGGAGTGGGAAGGCCTCAACCCTGCTCCCAGGGCTTTTTGTACAGTTCCCCTGTTGAAGAACTGCAGCAGTCTGGATTCCGAGGGTGAGAATCGTTTTGCTGTTTCCCTAGCTCCTCCTCAGAGTGCCTGTTACTCTGCATGTGTGCGAGCTGTGTGTGAACGAGTGTCACATCTCACAGAGTAAAGTGAAATCCTCAGAGAAAGAAAACATTTTCCTTCATATTTTCTCTTTCCTTCACGTTTATCTTTTTGATAGGTGTTAGAATCTTTTATTTTTGTTCCATGAAGAGTCCCAGGGGCTTTCTGAGGACCTTCTCATATACACGTCACACACTGTCAGTCAGTCCTGCTCACCTGTGAATCAGAACGGAATCCTGGATGGAAAAGAGGAGGAGACAGTAGCAAAGGGTCCAGTTATGTTACAAGGATTAAGGAAGGGCTGAAAGGGTTCAAGTTACAGCAGAAATGGGACATGAAATTGGTTTTGCCAAGTTCTGTTTCATTAGAAATGATTCTAGAGAATTCCACTGAGAATATGCTTGATTGTCCTATTGTGGGTGTATGACAGCTGCATATGTAAGTACTAAAACTCAGAGGCAAATATATGTTTCTTTGACTTTGCACAGGAGTGCTGCTCCTCTTCTTGTATTCACATTGATGGTTGTGTTTTTATACTGATATTAAGTGGTTTTACTGCTACTATTTTAATATGGTGCTTTTTTGTTTTTTGGTTTTTTTTTGTTTTTTGTTTTTTATTGCCGTGGAAGCTTCTTGGTTTGTCCTGCACACAGAAATTTTTGAGCACCTTGTCATTCTGTTTGCTCAGGTGCAGTGTCTTTTAGGGGTAAGTTCTCTATTTTCTAAAATATCAACAGGCTTTTAGATAAGATTTGTTTATTATCTCTGCCAAGTATTAAACTACATCTACATTTTCTTTTGATGTTCTGTTGTGTGCTTTCAACACTTCATGATTCACATTGCTATATTTTTTTGTGTATTTTGAAATTACCCTCTGGGTTTGATCCTTCTCTCATAGTATTTGAATTCTGTGGTTTCTCAATTTTAGGAAAATCTTAGGAAGATTTTCTCCACTTATACATGTAAAAGAATGCCTGTAAGTTCTCGGTACAAACTACATAGACTCTTGACAGAACATAAGCACCCTTTTATATTCCTTCACATGTTTGACTGAGAACATGCTATCAATGGTCAGTATTCATATATCTTTTTTGCGTTCTTCTCTTCCAGCTGTTGTTGATGTCAACATTCAGAGTTCTTAGGGAAGAACTTTATAAACATTGATCTTTACTAGTTTTGAAGAGGTGTTCTATTTTTAAGACATGGCCACACTGAAACATGCTGATGGAAGTTTGAGAATACTGGGCATCTTCTGTGCTTTGTGGGTTATTGAATTATCAGTTTTCTTTGCTGCTCATGCTCATCTTTCTCAGTTGCGGTAATTGAAGTTTCCCTGCAGCACTATCTTTTTGGTTCCTACAATTCTGTCATTATTGCTTTTTATATTTGGAAACTGTTTTGTGCAATGCATTCTTGCTAATCACATGGCTTTCTCAAAATGGACCATCTGGTCAGTTGTTAATGTTCTTTGTTTTGTGTATTTATACATTCAGCATTTCCTGTGCCCTACCATTGTTATGACCAACCCTCTTCACAGAAAATCTTTAAAGAAAAAACTTTGCTTCACTCTTAGCACATTGTATCTTTATGTTTGAAGTAAATACTTTTATAGTAAGTACATATTTTTGTTCATTTACATGCTCTGTCTGCCTTTAGGTTACTTTGGATAAAGGTTTGTCTATCATGTTGCTTTTTCTCAAAGAACCAACTCTTTGTTTCATTGATTCTTTGTATTGTTTTCTTTGTTTCTACTTTATTGATTTCAGCTCTCAATTTGATTATTTCATGGCATCTACTCTCCTGGGGTGAGTTTGCTTCTTTCTGTTCTAGAGCTTTAAGGTGTTCTTTTAAGTCTCTACTGAGACTATTCTCCAGTTTCTTCATGTGGGCACTTAGTGCTATGAACTTTACTCTTAGCACTGCTTTCAAAGTGTCCCATAGGTTTGGGTATGTTGTGCCTTCAGTTTCATTGAATTCTAGGAAGTCTTTGATTTCTTTCTGTATTTCATCCTTTATCCAGGAGTAATACAGTTGACCCATTGTTCAATTCCCATGAATTTGTGGGGTTTCTGTAATTTGTGTTGCTGTTAAATTCTAATTTTAAGCCATGTTGGTGTGATAAAAAACGGGGTTATTCCATCTTTTTTGTCTGGTGAGGTTTGCTTTATTTCTGAGTATGTGGTTGATTTTAGAAAAGGTTCCATGTGGCACTGAGAAGAAGTTACATTCTTTTGTGTTTGGATGGAATGTTCTATAGATGTCTATTAAACCCAATTGGGTCATAACTTCTATTAGTTCCTTTGTTTCTTTGTTAAGTTTCTGTCTGGTAGTCCTGTCCAGTGGTAAGATTGCAGTGTTGAAGTCTCCCATTCTAAGTCTGTGGGGTTTAATGTGTGATTTGAGTTTTAGTAATGTTTCTTTTAGAATGTGGGTGCCTTTGTATTTGGTTCATAGATGTTCAGAATTGAGACTTCATCTTGATGGATTTTTCCTGTCATGAATATGAAGTGACCTTCTTCATCTCTTTTGATTAATTTTAGTTTGAAGTCTAATTGGTCAGATATTAGTATAGCTCCACCAACTTGCTTATTAGGGTCTTTTGATTGTAAAATCTTTTCCCAACCCTTAACTTTTAAGTTAACGTCTGTCTTTGAAGGTGAGTGTGTTTCTTGTATGGAGCAAAAGGATGGATTCTGTCTTTGTATCCATTCTGTCAACCGGTGTCTTTTTTATAGGTGAGTTAACACCATTGATATTAAGGGAAATTAAGATCCATTGAATGTTTTTTCTTGTTTGTTTTTGGTTTGTTGTTGGTACTGGTATTGTATGTGGATTTACCCTGCCTTTTATTTTGTGTTTTTGTACAGTGGGATTATCTATTGCCTATGTTTATGTGAGTGTAGTTAATTTCCTTAGGTTGGAGTTTTCCTTCCAGTACTTTCTGCTTTCTGTAGGGCTGGATTAGTGATTAAATATTGTTTAAATCTGCTTTGTGGTGTAATATCTCGTTTTCTCCATTTATAGTAATTGAAAACTTTGCTGGGTATAGTAGTCTG